GGATTTCAGAGATGCAGAGGGAGAGAGAGATAGACACATCAATGATGAGAGAAAATCATTGATCAACTGCCTCCTGGTGGATATCGAGCCCACAACTTGGGCATGTGCTCTTGATGGGAATCAAACCCAGGACCCTTCAGTCCACAGGCCGACACTCTATCCACTGAGCCAAACTGGCTAGGGCCCTCTGTACTTTTTAAATCAGCAAACAACCTGTGAGGCCATGTGACTACTATTCCACAATAATCACTCACCTATTAGTTTTTGCATCTATTGATGACTCAACCTAAGAGTTACAAAACAGATTTTCTAAATTTATCAGCTGAAAGAACATCAGAGAAATATCTCCCTCCCTCCCTCTCTCTCTCTCTCTCTCTCTCTCGCTCTCTCGCTCTCTCTCGCTCTTTCTCCCTCTCTCTCTCCCCGATTATTACAATACACTCATGAAGATTTTTTTTTATCACTGAATGTGTCATAACCCATTACTGTCATTCTATTTGGTGCTCAAATGTTCCACGTTTGCCGGTGAGAGCCCTTTCACACCAGCTATTGGGTCCTTTGCTATGACCCCATTCGCCTTTGAGTGTTCCCTCGCTTTCTAGCAGATGATGCCTCAGGCTCACCTTATACTCTCCCTGCTCCGGCCTGGAACCAGCTATTTTACAGGATCCTTCCCGCGGGACTCATCCTCTCTTTTCCAGCAGATAAGCAACTTCACATTCTCTCACCCTGCTCTAGTCATAACCTCATTTTCTTTCCTCCCTACCTCCTTTCCCGGTCATTCATCATTTGCATGAGCACAGATGGCTCTTTGTCCTTGGCAGCAGGTGGGGAGAAGAAGGGTGTAAGAGAGGGGAAGGAGAGACAAAGACCTACAGTAAATTTGGGGATGCTATCGACTATTTACCTGACAAGAAAAAGCTTCCTTTTTTATAGGTAACCACACAATTGGTTATTTCCAAAGCACAGCTTGTATTCTGAGATGGTACTGTCTTATGATTTCATGTATAAAATTTATATTATACCATAGTTTATTGTTTTATTTTACACTTATATAAAATGCATGCAGAAGAAAACCTACTACCCACACCCTGGTATTCCTGTCCCCTTCTCTTGCTTAATTTGTCTCCATCGGCACTACCTTCTAAACTATAAATGGTGCTTCATTTTTAAATTTTTGTTATCCTCCCAATAGAACTTAGATTAAGTTCTGTGAATGATGGACCTCTTTTGTGTACTGCTTTGTTCATTATTACACTCACAGTGTCTAGAACAGTGCCTGGAATACAGTAGGTACCCCATAACTGTTTGTGAATGAGAAAAATAACTTGCCCAGGACCACAGCCCTCGAGGTGAGCAGGATCTGCCATGTACCTGTGAGCCTCTGCTCCATGTCACCCCCACCCCAAGCAGTCTGTTACCCACTTCCCGAGTTCCCAGAGCCCTTCTTACACTTCCGGGTGCTGACACGAAGTATCACATCATCGCTGTTTACTTACACGTCTGTCTCGCTTGAAACACTGCAAGTTTCTCTGAGGGAAGGACAAGGTCGACTTATCTCCATGGCCCAGCACTGAGCACAGCAGCTGGCACAGAAATGCCTGCCCCTCCGACCTGCAGCCAAGTGCCCTTGCCCTTGCCCTTGCCCCACACCCCAGAGCCTGCTGGGCTTCTCCTCTCGGGCGGCCTCCCCACAGCGTGAACCGGCTCCAGCTCCAGCTGCACAGAAAGGCCAGGCCCACCGGCAGCTCACAATGGGCCCTTTGATGCTACCAGGCTGCGCTCTCTCAGGAAAAACACGTTCCTGCCACGGCACCTGTCACTAAAGCCAACACAGAGCCAGTGTTCATCAGGAAGCAAGGGCAGGGGCGCGGCCAGCAGAGCCAGCGGGCAGAGCGGTCTGGCTCCTGGAGGACAGACGGGGTGCAAGGTGGAGAGCCCTCCATTCAGCAGGGCTGCTGACACTCGGCTCTGAGCAGCTTAGAGAGATGACGGGAGGGGAAGGGCCCAACATAAAAGAGAGTAGAGAGCACTTGTCAAAGCTTTGCCTCAGAAATGCCTTACTTGCTCTTTTCTTTCAAGCTTCTTCTCACTTTCCTCAGCAACGGGACTCTCGGGAGGCACGGTCAGCCGCAGTCTGCAGACATTTGCCTGGGAGAGAGAGAGGAGAGGCCATGGTGAACCTGCGATTGGGGTAGAGAGAGCTGGGAGATCTTGTGCTTCTCAGAGCCTATACCCCTACTCTGCAATGAGGGTGATCGTTTCAACCACACAGGGGACTGAGGCAAGACCAGCCTTCGCCTGCCCGTCGCCGACACTCACCACACTGCTCCTCAAAGCAGGGAAACCGCTGAGTGATTTCCTAGTGTTCCAACAGTTTTTTTAACAGCAAATAGTAGATATAGATATAGATATAGATATAGATATAGACATAGACATAGACATAGATATAGATATAGATATAGATATAGATATAGATATAGATATATAGGATAACCTTATTTCACATGCATAGTCCAAACTACAGCTAGAGGGATAGAGGCCAAAATACACACAGTGACGACTGGGATACGAGGTTGCTTTCTACTTGACAATATATTGAATTTTTACAATAAACATGTACATTTAATCACAAAGATTTTTAAGTTTATACAATCATGTTCATAGCTTCATCATTCACAATAGAAACACAAATGTCCACTGATGGATGAGGGATAAATAAAATGTAGTATGTATAGAGAAAGGAATGCTATGCAGCCTTAAAAAGGAAGAAAATTCTGACACATGCTACAACATGGGTAAACTTGAGGATATTATGCTGGGCGAAATAAGCCAATAATACAAATTCATAGAGACAGAAAGCGGAACGGTGATACAGATATAGATCCTATAACAACCCTCTGATTACCCGCCTAAAGGACTTAAGAATGTTCACGTGTCCAGACCACCTGACATCCATTATGCCAGAAGCTGAGGAGAGAAGAATGAGCACTTATTATGTAATGGATATGAAGTTTCCATTTGAGAAGAAAAAAAAGGAGCTGGAGACAGATGGTGGTGGTGTTTGCAAAACAATGAGAATATATTAATGACACATGTTGTCTATTTTACCCTCATGTCACAGGCTGGTCCCGCTGTGACCTTTCCCAGGGAGAAATGATCCAGCCATTAAAAAAGCCCAAGGAGCCTGGCCGGCAAGGCTCAGGGGTTGAGCATCGACCTATGAACCAGGAGGTCACATTCCGATTCCTGGTCAGGGCACATGCCCGGGTTGGAGGCTCGGTCCCCTGTAGAGGGCGTGCAGGAGGCAGCCGATCAATGATTCTCTCTCATCACTGATGTTTTTCTCCCTCTCTCTCTCCCCGCCCCCCTTTCCTCTCTGAAATCAATAGAAATATATAGGGGGGGGGGGAGCCCAAAGAGGGTTCCAGCAGCACCCAGAGTACCCAGCCCACAGCCGCGCAGGCTCAGCTTACAGGAGTGCTGCTGGGCCCTGTTATGGAATGACTTGTGTCTCCCTAAAATTCAAATGTTGGAGTCCTAACCCCAGCACCTCAGGAAGTGACCTTATTTGAAAACAGGGCCTTACAGGTGTATTACATTAAAATGAGGCCTTTAGGGTGGGCCCCAATCCACAATGCCCGATGTCCTTATGAAAAGGGGAAGTGTGGAGTCAGACACGCATGCTGGGAGGACACCATGTAAACGTGCTGAGGAGAGGAGCCTGGGACAGAGCCCGGCTGACACCTTGGTTTTAGACTTCTAGCTCCAGAACTGTGGGACAATACAGTCTGTTAAGTCACCTGGTTTGTGGTCCTTTCTACAGCAGCCCCAGTGAGCTAAAATACCCCCAACCTGGGTCTGCATTGATCCACGGGGTGGGCTCTGAGCAAAAATGCCCTGTAGCCGAAAAGCCCAAGGTGGGATGGAAGAGGAAAAGGCCATTTAAGTCCAACCTGCCAGCCTGTAGAGGAATGATGTGAAGAAAACCAGATGAAGTCAGTACAGCTAAGCTGACTTAAAACAGAATCCGTATAGTCAGGCTGGCAAAACTGGTTCTGACCGAATGGGCTGAAGCATGAGGAATTAATTTTATTTTAACTAGCCTGGGGACTTAAACTTTTGAACTTTCCAGGTGTGCATCAATGCCTTGAGATAGATGTAGATATAGCTACAGATAGAGACAGAGACAGAGATAGAGATAGAGACAGAGATGGAGATAGAGATATATAGATCCTATAGATAGCCCTGTGATTACCCGCCTGAAGGACTTAAAGAATGTCCAGGTGTCCAGATCACCTGACCTCCATTATCCAGACAACCAGGTATCTGGAAGATTATTATCTTGGACCAATCCAGGGGCTAATAAGAATGTAGGGCTGATTCTTGTCAAGAATGCAACTTTTACCATAAAAACTCTTGACATTTCTTTCTTCCTTGGAACACTCGGTTTTAACTTTGCCGTTTTTAATTGTAACAAAGCATCATGATTCATTTACGCTTGGTCAACACTATGAAGGAAACCCCACAGCTAACAATGTCACTGGCAGATGGGTGCCCAGTCTGGGGGTAACGTTTTCTACACGTGGGCATTTGGGACACGTGTTAGTTCTTCTACATACACCATCACCTCCCTCCGAAGCATCCCATTTTGCTGCCCAGCATCTCTAACCTCCAGGTAATGAACTACCATTGAAGTATGGTAGCAATCATCTCGGGTAGAAACTATAGTTTAACTTTAACCCTGCTGTTTGGTTTCTGTACTTATTTGTTTGCTAAAATAGAAAAGTTATTTTGATTTTCTGAATTATATAAATTATCCCATTTGATTAAGATTGTAATGTGAATATCCCATGGGTTGTGGTCATACTGATCTTAGAAAACACATTTTCCTTTACCTGGGAAGGACAGCACAATTATCCCAAGGTCAGAGGGCTCCAGTTAATGTGTCCCTGTTCACTCAGTGTTCTGGAAACCCAAAACTGTGATTTAGATAACATGCTGCTTCTGCTTCTGTAAACTGCTTTTTTGCAAACCAGGTTCCTCATTCCAGACCCGAGGGCTCTAGATAATGTGTTTCTGTCAATTCAGTGATCCAGAGACCCAAAACTATAATTTAGATAACATGCTGCTTTGCTTCTGTAAACTGCTTTTTTGCAAATCAGGTTCCTCATTCCAAACCCTGGGATGTAATCAATACCTTTGTGATCTTTGCCTATATAAGTCTGGCCATCTTATCACTATGAGATTTGGCAGAAGAGCGTAATGGCCCCTCATAGTCCCGGATTGCAATAAATATGATTCTTTAATTCGACTTCTTGAGGCGTCCTTCTGTTATTCGTGGGGTACATTACAACACCATGTTCCCTCAGAACTCTTACCTAATAGACCTAGCACTGCCCTTGGGGACTGCAATACAATTCCCTTTCTTAACTTAACTCTGGTGCCGTGTCACATATAGAAATTTTTTGATATTTGCAACCGTAGTAAAACAAAGACTTATATTTTGATATTTATTTTATATATTTAAATGCCATTTAACAAAGAAAAATCAACCAAAAAAATGAGTTCGCATGTCACCTCTGACACGCGTGTCATAGGTTCGCCATCACTGAGATAGGCAATCCAAGTCTGTGATGCTCAATAATCTTCACTGATAGGCTGGATCTAATCCACAGTTTAATTCTGCAGAGAAAATAAGGTACTTTTCCCGGGTACCACATCACAAACACACACACACACACACGTGCACACATGCACACCCAGGTTCCAATACCTACCATCTGTGTTGACTATGGGACAGTTACTTGAGCTCTCTGAATCTCAAGGGCAAAATGTGAATAAAAGAAAGAAGTATGGCACAGAGTAAGCCTCTATCAACATCAGGGATTTTTATTATTATCTACATAGTCTCCTCATCCTACAAGTTCCAAAATGAAATGAGCCTACTTGGTCCTACAGCTCTGCTTTCCATGGAAATAATGATTTGGCCAGTGGATCTAGTGGGCATTAGAACTGTGATTTTTTGTTTGTTTGTTTGTAAGTCGATTGCCCCAGATGGGTAATCCATAAGGGCAATAAACTACAAAACTGAAGAGGCAACAAGGCCCAGAAGGGTCCCCAGGGGTCCCAGCACCCCAAGGTGAGATGTCCCCTTCCTCGTCTTGAACCATTCTTCATCTGCCCACCCCAAACTTTGATATTCCTCAGCACACTTCCTGCAGCTCTCGCAGAGCCATGCCCTATGGCAGGGTGGGCAAACTGTTTGACTGGAGGGCCACAATGGGTTCTTAAACTGGACCGGAGGGCCGGAACAAAAGCATGGATGGAGTGTTTGTGTGAACTAATATAAATTCAAAGTAAACATCATTACATAAAAGGGTATGGTCTTTTTTGTTGTTGTTTTTAGTTTTATTCATTTCAAATGGGCCGAATCCGGCCCGCAGGCCGTAGTTTGCCCACGGCTGCCCTATGGCATACAAAGCCGCGGGGTAAACAGAATGCAATTCCCTGAACTATCAGTTTTACCTGGTGACAGATAATGAATTAAAATAAAATGAACCTCAAAGATATCTGGCAGTTGTAGAGTGCCGCTGGATTGTTTACTCTTATCATTAGAGGTGCTCTGATGGGACCCTAAGGCCCCTGCTAGCATCCTTTAATCAAGGCTGAGCCAGAGCAATTTAAATCCAGGAACAGGACCAGATGCCTTCCTAATAAGACGGCCAAATATGTTGCCAGGTGGGGGAAAAAAAGCTGCATTGAAATAATGTTAAGAATAACCCCTTTTTTGTTTGTTTGTTGGTTTAATCCTCACCTGAGGATATTTTTTTATTGATTTTTAAAGAGGAAAGTGGGGGAGAGAGAGAGAGAAACCTCGATTTGAGAGAGAAACCTCAATCGGTTGCCTCTTGTATGCACCCCAACCAGGGACTGTACCTGGAAACTAGGTATGTGCCCTGACCAGGGGAATCAAACCCACAACCTTTTGGTGTACAGGACAACAATCCAACCAACTGAGCCACCTGGCCTGGGCACATTTTTGTTTTTTAAATACACTCTGATCACTGGTGTAGATTTATATGGGAAAATGTCTTTAAGGAAACACAACCAGCTGGTGATGGTGGTGGTAGTCTCTGGAAAGCGGGATTTCGGCATTGCTTGCAACTGTGGCAAGTCTTTTCATTAAAATAATGACAGCATTAGTGATAGCACTAATAAAGATTGAGAGCAATGCATCAGAAAGATAGGAGGAAAGATATCAACCTTTCCTAAACCCACAGGACTGCCTCGGGAGCAGCAAACAGGACATCTCAGTGGTCCGGAAGGTAC